CCAGGGGCAAGGAATGAGGAGTGGGTGAGCCAGGTTGCTGTTGTCTGGGGTTATGGGGTCACAGAGTGGGGATATCTCCAGCTCACAGGCTGGAGGAGGGCTCTAAGGGCGCCTGTGGACACGCATGTCAGCTGTGGGGGGGCAGGCGTGGGAGGGGCAGCTGATGGGGCTCAGCTGATGGGGTCAGCCTGTGTGCAGACCCCAGGAACTGCAGTCTGAAAATTGCCAGGCTGGGAAAGAGGAGGCAGACTTTCCCGGGCTCCAAGTGCAAGCTTTTCCAGGTACCAGTAACGTGCGTCCTTACTAATGTGTACCTAATGTGAGTTAGGTGGTAGTTTCCAGACCAATTAGCAATCATTGGGAGTGTTTTTTTTTTCTTTTAAATACTCAAATAACATAAAGAAAAAGAAAAAAATTCCATTCATGCCATGGGTTCAAGTCAAGGGTTAAGGCTGTAGGTTCTGGAGTCTGCCGTCTGTAGTACAGGATCTCCAGTGGTCCCTACTCATAGGGTTATGGGGGCGCTGAATGAAAGCACCTCCGTAAAGGGGTTCATACTGAGCCTCTATCATGGGGCAGCAAGTGTTTGATGAATGTGAGCCATTGTGAGCAGCCCCACCCTATACCAGCATAATTTCTGCACAGTTGTACTCATAGCGTAGACTCAATTTCATATAGTTGTTTTCTTCCTTCACTGTTAATTGCAAGCCATTGTTCATGTTGCTAAATTGTCTTTATAATTATTTTAATGGTTACGTACCTCTTTAAAAGTTTTCAGCAAGACTGTTTCATATACTTACTGTTTCTTTTCCAAAGGGAGTTCGGCTTATGGGTGGCGTCTGCCTTCCGCTGAGTTGCAGCAGCTCAGGGATCTTGCTGGGTGACTGTCAAAGGAAGACCTTTGCTGTGAAAAGCCATTCATTCGTTCCTTACTCCGCTAACATTCAAGGAATACCTTCTAAGTATGAGGTTTACCATCTCACCACCCTCCCACGTGTGAAGCTGCCGCTACGCTCTAGTAACGTTTGGTTCCCTGGTGCTTATGGACACCTGATAGTGTGAGGCTCAGAAGACCTAGCTTCTAGTTCCAACACTAGCCAGGAAAGTTTCTCTCTTTCCTTAGGGCCACCTGTAAAGTAAGGAATGGATTGTATGGCCTGGAGCTCTTCCTATCCTTGCCATTCCCTGAATCTGGCTGTCTATCTGCACGTATGGCGTCATAGGACACAATGACAATGCTGGGTGTGGGCCTAATTCCTGGGAGCTTTACAATCGAAGTTTTCCTTGGTCCAGAGACTCTTTGACATCAGAAAGGGATGTTCCGGATTTGGGATGGAGAAAGCCCCTTTAAGGCCAAAAGCACTGGCTTAATTCTGATTTATGCTGCAGGTGCTGAACATCTCAGAGTGCCAAGCAAATACACAGCGGTTCCCATGCCCCAATCAAGGAGGGAGGCCCCTCTCTGCTGGGAAGTCTCTGGGTGCTCTTCTGCTCTGGCTCAGAAGAGTCTGAATAGGCCTCCCCCCTCACTGGGCAGACCTCAGAGGCTGTGCTAACTTAGTAGGGTTAAGAGGTCTGTCCCAGAGGATGCGGCCAGCAGGGTATGAAGACGTTGGGCAAAATCCCTCCTTGTGACTACAGCTCTGCGAGCCAGCCAGCCTCAGTGGTGGATTCAGATTTCAGGCTCTGCTGGGAGATGTGATTCAGATCAGCTGGTGGATCAGTTCCACCGTCTACCTGTGGTGTGATCCCCGACAAGTTACTCAATTGCCCTGAGCTTCAGTTGCCTAATGTGTAAATAAGACTAATAAAGGCTAGGTCAGTGAGATAACACATGGAAGACTCTCAACACAGCGTCTGGCACGTGCTGTTTTTAAGGGAAATGTGATTTCGATTCTGGTTGAGGTCATTTCTCAACATGTAGACACAAAACGCAGAAACATCTAAGATTTCAAGGAAACAACGTTTTGTTAGTAAATCTGCTCACGCACTTCCTGGGTCTCATTGGGTATCATTGTGTTTCACAAATGAGAGCTGATCTTAGCCTGTGTTTCATGAAAGGCATCTGCCATTAGCCCACAGTTTCAAGAGCCTTTTTAGCTACTGTTAAGGCGATCCTGTTTCATACCCCTCTGACCCATCCAAACCAGATATCTTTTCAAGATAAAACTTTCTTCTTAGATAATATAAAATTTATTTTTAAATATCATCACTTAAATTGGGAGTCATTTGGCCAGGCGTGGTGGCTCACACCTGTAATCCCAGCACTTTGGGAGGCCGAGGCAGGTGGATGATCTGAGGTCAAGAGTTCAAGAC